GCCGCCGCACTGCGCCTGCGCGCCGCGGGGGGGGGGAACCTGGGAAACGTAGTGCCGTGGGCCCGCCCCGCGGTTTCTGAACCGGAGAGGGCTCAGCCCCGAACTTTTGCGCTTTTAAATCCGCTGCGGCATCTCCCGTGCTGCTGCTTTGCTGGATCGGGGGACTGACAGTAAAATAAGGTGGGATTTAGGGTTTTTCTGCAGCCCACCAGCAGCACTGCTGGCCCCGGTGCCAAGGGGGAAGGAACACGCTCCCAGCGATGGGTTGGTTAGGGCAGTCCTTCCACCCCGGCCTTGGCATTGCACACTCACAGCTGCAACAGGCATTTTTCTTCCCTCTATAAAGCACAAGGAAAGGAAGATTTTCTAAACTTTTCGGCAGATACCCCAGGTATCAGTAACACACCATTCTGAGGAACACGTTCTGTTACAGCATTACAAAACCAGCCAAGAGCTCCGAACCACACTGCAAATCATTTCTGTATTGACTTTACCGGCACCAATGAAAAATAAAGAACTGGTCATGGGAATATTCAGGCATTTCTGAGCAACCAAACACTCCTTGACTCCGTCTGTATTTGAGCACATCAACTAAAAGAGCAACTGTTAAAAAAAAACCCCAAATCCTCAGGTCAGCGAGCCCTTCCCTATCATATATTAAAATCTACCACAAAATCTACTGCAGACGCTTTTCTGAACACGAGCAAAGGCTGAGGAGAAGCTGCAGAGCCAAGAGAGTGGCAGCGTCTCACAGGTAACCTGCAGAGCTGCCCGCACGCCGCCTTAGCACAAGCGAGCAGTTCCACTTCAGGCAACAAGAGAAAAGCAAAAACGATCTGCAAGGCACCGATCAAGCAGAGCAAACGCTCCCTGAGCCGTGGCTGCTGTTTACACACGCTATACGCCCATCTTCCCCTCTGTCCTTCCGCAGGACGCTCCAGAAATACCTGGTGCATCATTCTCCTTACTGGAGACTTTGCAGTCATACCATAGGGGCATTCAACAGTTAGGAAAAACCTTAAAAAAAAAAAATCATCAAGTGCCACCCTGCCATTCGGCTGATAGATACATGGTTTTCAATCCTGGCAGCGAAATGATTATCCCTTTCCCTCTCCTCACTATCCACACACGCCAAGTGCAAGGCTCTCTGTTTGACTTAGCTTGAAGGAGTAAGGAATTCATCCAAGCATGCTGAGATGGAACCACGATGCTAAAGAGGGAGCGCTTCAGGCCAGAGCACACCTTACAGCTCTTCCCACCCACAGCAATTTAATATCCTACAAATCAGGTCGACCAATTATATTTTGGTGAGTTAACTGAAATAACAGACAGATGCTCAAGTGAAGAATTCAATGTATATTTATTATTCACAGTTAATTACTATCTACCAAATGCTGCTGCAGAGTTAAAGGATTAAGTACATAGGCCTTTTTTATTTAAACACTGATTTTTTTTTAATATATATACACACACAAGACATATGTCTGCAAGGCTGCATGATATACACCAATTCCAAAATAAGGAAACAATCAAATGGTCCAGGTGTAGAATGCCATAGATTCCTTTTCCAATCACTTTACAAAGAAGGAAGAAAGTGAGTGACAGCTAGCAAGGAGAGGGGGAGAAAGTAATACTCTACAGGATAGCTCTCTCTTTCATCTGCTGGAAAATTAAAGTGTAAGGCAGAGTCCATCTCAGGAATAAAACATTTGTAACACTTAGTACAAAAAAAGGCACCCTCCAACACAAGATTGCCCGTGCTCAGGCAGGGCAGGAGGAGATCTCCGCTGCAGTTTTTGGATTTGTTGGTGGGGTGAAGGGATCCAGCCAAACGGCTATCAAAAGGAAAAATAACGCAACTGAAGATTGGCACAGAGAGTGGTGCGGCTCGATTGCTTTCCTTTCCGTCCAATTTAACGTCATACTGTTCTGGTGGAGGAGCAAATGGCCACAATAAATGCCATTATGGTGCGGGGTGGGGATTACAGTCATCACACAGCCTGCTGTGAATGGGGAGCGGGGCAGGGGGAATCTACTTCAACAGTAACACTGACCTGAGGAGGGAGGAGAAACTGGAGAACAGCGATGCAAACCCCACTTGTCAAGAGCAACACGACTGCAAATATTCCCTATCCAGGCCAAAGAGACAGGCTGATTACATGCATCACGTAGAAACATTCACTAATAGCATAAAGTTTTTTCAAGCACTATTTCTTGAGGTTTCTCTGCATTATAAAGTTTTCCATCAAAGGAATGTACATTTGATAGGACATCTCAGGCTATTATTTCTCAAATTCCCCCCTTAACCCTCCCTCCCCAAAATATTCTCCCTCATTTTCCCTTGTCATAACTTCCCCCTTTCTCTTACTTCTTTTGAGGCTTCTGGTTGCAGCTCCCCACCTCTGAGCAGCCTAAGCTGCCACTTGAATGCCTTGATTTAATTTTCCTTGGAATCAGGAAAGTTGAACAGTAAGACAAATCTTAAGATTAAAGCTCCATCTCTGTTTGTAGGTTTTTCTCAAATGTCCATTGATAAAACCACCCTCCTTTACACCCTTCCCCCAAAAGTATTTATTTACACATAGGCAGAAAAAAAACCCTCTGAAAAGCTCTGGACTGTCCTTTTAACTTATAATAAAAAAGAAAATAAGGGAAAGGCACTATGGAAAAAATTACACAATGTGCTCAACCGTACACCTTTAAGAAAAAACAAAAAAGCTGTCAGCACAGCATTAACAGACTTCAGTTGTACGTTGGAGTTTCTCAAAGCAGCTCTGTGACTCAAAAGGAAAAAAAAAGAACAAAACAAAAAGCCACATAACTCTTCTCCCTTCCCCTGCTTGGAAGCTGCTGAGCTTCAGAAGAAAGTGCCAAAGGAGAAGAGACAATAAAAATTAGATTAACACCTCATCTTTCCCAGGCAAGAAGAGCTGAACGTTGAAGGCAAAAGCAGAGACTGATGATTTTTGTTTTTTTTTAAAGGCAGGACTGTGGATTTGGTTCTTCTCTCATGTCCCATCACGTCAAACGAAGACCGTTTGCAGAGAGAGAAAATACCAGCAGAGTTTCTCCCTTTTCCTTTAACTGCATGGCTAGGACTTTATATGGCATTAAAACTTCATGCACTGATGGACAGAGGAGGAGGGGGAAACAAGAAGAGTGAATGAAAGGGGGTAACCCAGGAGCAGCTGAGGAAAATTGTTATTTTCATTTTTCTCTCTTTTTTTTTTTCTTTTTTAAAGAGGGGGTCAGTTTAGTTTTCTTTTTGCAAAAATGGACCTCTTTCCCCCCCACCACCCCTGAAGTTCCGTACTGAGTGAAGGAGGATCACCTCATGGTGAAAGGTGACTCAGGTTTTATCGCCATGTGATTTTAGGTCACTGGCTGCAGTTAGGTTCTGCATGTGTATTTACTGGTTCTCTGGCTTCTTTAAATAATTTCTAATATTTATCTCTAGATGTTCCGGTTCACTGGGGTCACATAGTTGCGTGGAAACATGCCCGTCTGTCCGTGGCAGGCTCCCTTCCACCAGTTGGGGTCAGAATTGTCAAGGACTTGGATAAAGTCTCCGCGACGGAAGCCCAGCTCTCCTTCCTCCTGGGGATCAAAATCAAACAGGGCCTGAACGTATGTTGGTTGCTGAAAGGAGAAAGAAAAAGATATACAAAGTGAGAATCATCCACAGCACTCAAAACACCTGCTCCCTCAGGCAGGAACTTAACTTACACCAGCATTTAACAATAAACACTTGGGCTGTTTCATTTCCCTGCAAGCCAGCTTCCAACATCAGTAACAAGATGCTAAACCAGGAAAGCATAGTCTATAGAAGACCTTAGAAAAAAGTGCAGTTTCTGTGAAAGAGCCGAAACAAAGATAGCAGGTGACTCAGATGTTTTCCTAGTATTTTCCAGTCTTCATGACCTACTGTAAATCTGTACTCCACTGCAACACAATGGTCTTTTTGCTTATTCATCCTGTTTTCACCAACTGACAGCATGAATGTTAATAATCTACCTAACACTGCGATACACAAAGCTCCCCCTAAAAACTGGATGTTGGCATTTTACACATTTTCCTTAAAACTCTCCAATATCAAGAAGTTCTGTCCCAGAGCTTTTTGCCTGGTCAGCAAATGCTGCCATTGCAAAGCTAATGGTTCATTTAAAATGCATTTGCATTCTTAAAATCTTGAGGCCAGGAAGGTATCTTCATGCTTGCCATTTACAGCCAGCTGTTTTCTCATCCTCTGTTTATCACTAACCCAACAACACAGAGCCAGATGTTAATTCAGACAAACTGTGGCAAAGGGTGCCTGTGGCACCTGGAGGGCAGTACGAGTTCCACGCCCCTTGTCTTCAAGCTAGAATTACAATGCTGCACACAGAGGCAAAAAGATTTATCCAAAATTGACAAAAGATCCAGTTACATCCAACATAACATTTTGATTACCCTGGGAAATAGAACAAAACAAATAGCTAGATATACACAAGCTGCTCTGCTGGCACTTCACAGTAGATTTTGGTTTCTCTTAGCACTGGCTAGATCCAAACCAGCAGGCTAGAGATGTTCCATATGCTACTGCCTGTAACCACCTCTTCAGTACCAAAGCTTCACTGGCTCAGAGGGGTCCTGAGCTATGTAGTCCTGGCTATGAACCAGTACAAGTAGAACTATTCTTTCTTACTGTGTCCTAAAACGGGAGTAAACCCATTTTTAAATTGCAGGAATCAGATAACCTTCCTGCAACAGTATCCAGAAACATTAAGACAAGGCAAATGTTCAAGCAGCAACAATAACACTTTGCCAGAACTGAAGGGGAGAGTAGGGAGTTAGCAGGTAGGCTTTGCACAAACATCCAGCTTATTTCCCAGCGTAATTCTGGCTGCGGGATCTAAAGATACACTTCCACAGACAAGAAAAATGCCAGTCAGCTTCTCTCCATCCCTCGTCATTTACTCCAAGATGCAATCCCACTTTAAACTGCGGTTGCAATAGTCTAAATAGTGCACTCTACAAGGACACTTCTCTTACCTGTGGCACCTGTTCAATGTCCCGGAGAAATATTTGCTGGTTCCTGGAGACAGAAGTGGATCTGTGATAATCTACCAGCTCGTTCAAAGAATTGAACTTCACCACCCAGAGGAAATACTTGCCAGCCCCATCTCTAAGCACTTTGAAGTGCTGCACATCATTTCCAAACCTGGGAGGAAGAATTGAACACCACAAAAAAAGCACATTATTAGTCACCAAGTACTCTTCTTCTGGGATTGTCAGCACAGAATTTGGAAGAAAAAGGTCCTTCAGGGCACAGTGAAAACTGTAAATAACACTGATGATATACATACCAACTGGCTGCTGTAAAAAAGATGTCTGAAAACCACCTGTTAATTATATTTTACGGAAATCAGTAATCAGAGAGAGAGAATCCAAATACAGAATTTATTTTGGAAAAAAGTCCTGCAATCTTCATATCTGCTTTTCTTATAACAGGACTTCAGTTTAAAACCAGCTTTTAAACCACTCTGAATTTGCAGAAGTTTGGGGTATTTTGGTCAAGGATTTCTGGTGTGACGACACTCTCTCTCCTGGCTCGCGTGCAATATTTCAGCTTTTTATTTTACACTGCATTGCCACATAGCTGGCATCCAGTACGTGTACTTCTTGATGTATGTATGCAGTCACCTGAGTCGTTGAAGACAGTGCACAGAATACCTTGGACACAGGCCACGGACTTTACAGTACAAATACAAGGTCACATTAAAGTAGCTGCACCACGGTGCCTTCCGCTTCGCATTCCCAAACACAGGATTTCAAACTCAAACAGTACAAGCGCTTTGGTTTTAGCTTTTCAGGCACAGCAATTTCACAACTGACTTGAGCCAATTTAGGTTTGTGCTACTCTTGCTACGGTCCTGTACTTCTCACCGTCGCAGTCCCTCCCTCACTATAATGCAATACACAGGCATCAGGCCCACTGTAGGTAAATTGCTGGGAAAATACTGCCACAGGGAGGGTAGGATTGTCTCTTTTGGCAGCCAGCCTGGACTTATGCAAAAGACTGTCTTGCAAAACAAAAGGATCTCTCTGATCCCTCAAAAACAATGAACAGAAAGTGCTGGAAAGGTGATGCTGCACATGGAACGTGGCAACTCCAATTCTGTGTTAAGAATTCTTTCTGATAAATGATGGCATTCAGTTGAAGCTACTTTTCCAACAATTTTAGTCTGAATAAAGGGAAACTCCAAAGGGATTTTCCAGACAAATGGCACATCTGTATTTTTCCTTCAGTCTAAAACACTGAAAACAGGAGACAACTGTTCCCTACTTGGCATGCACAGCTTCTATACATTGGCTGAAAAATGTAGAAGGTATCTTGGCTACAAAGTTAACATGAAACAACTCATGAGTACTGTCTCTGCTCTCCCTTCCTCAACCTGAGAGCTTCTCATCATTTCAAATCCTGCAGATCACTGTTTAGGAAAAAGATTTTTCTAAATTAAACAAACAGGGGGGAAAAAAAAAAAATCAACTGAGATATTACCACCAGATGGCAACACTAAGCTAACAGGCAGGCAAGAGCTATGCTATTATAACTTTATGTTTCTTAAAGGAATGCACTTTCTGGATGAAATATCCAGTATTCCAGCTCAGACGATCGTATCCAAGACAGAAATATAAACATCTCTTAAAATCAGTGGCTTTAATCCAGTTTGTTGGCATGACTCAGTGCTGCTGTATAGGAGGACAAAAATTTGGTTACAGACCAAAGATGACCAGAAAAAAAATAATTCTGCTGAGACAGATCACTGATTGCTACAGAAAACAGAGCAAACTAGGAATTGTGCATGAATAATAAAAAGAATTTACAATTCTAAAGAAAATCTTGGTCATTTCTGGCAGGAAAGGGGAAGATTACAGAAAATAAAGAAAAAGACAAAAATCAACTGCTGAGGACAGAATCCCTCCCATCCTCAACCCACGTTACATCACATACCCTTTCAAGTTTCTAATACCTCTATTTTACAGTGACTTCAGACGGGCAAGATAGGTAGTGTGGTATTTGTGGGCCATGGCTAACTGGCAGAAACTGCTCCTGGTTAACAGCCAGTACTTCTAGTAAGGTTATTCAAGCATGAGAACTGCTCCTCCTCACTTCACTGTTATTAGATTGAGTTTCTCTACCAACATGGAATGCACTTGCGAGAGATGGAAGAGGCCTCTGTTTTCACATCTCCATGTCCCAGTGCTGTACAACATGAATACCCTCAAAGCACGTGCCAAGCAGACATAAAAACATATCTGTAAGTGTACTACACAGAGAGAAGACAGAGTAGTAAGTTGTACTGCAGAATTAAGGAGGATGGGAGAGAACATGTACACATGGGACACTTTGTCGCTGTAAGGAGAAGGAATGGGATCCACAAACAAACCAACAGATAGTACCTGAGACTACAGGAACCAACATACCACCAGGTCAGCCCTGTAGGCTCATTACACACCAGAGCATATATATTTGTTCTATGAAAGAGGGAATAAATAAGTATCACTGGAAGAACAGGAACGCTATAGGGCATCAGGAAGATTACTCCTGCTCCTCAGCACTGACAATCACCTGTCCTTTACCTGGTAACTGGCCTGATTACCACACAATTGCTTCTGGGCATTACTTACTTGACTGAGAGGGAGAAGTCCCCAGGAGCACTCTCACTCTCCCTGATGAGGAAGGCACCATCGTGTCTCTGTTTGCCTAACATCTCTTCAGCCTTTGCTCGGGGAATCTTTCCAAAAAACCACCTGTGGAGTGAGGAAAAGAAAACAACAGGGAAAGTTAAGAATTTTAATCCTTTAATGGAAGAGCCAGACATAGATATTCACACAGAAATGGAATGATTCCTAACAGAAATAACCGCACTGCACCTGACTGCCACTCCAATACAGGGTACTGAACCACACAGCTTTTCACAATGTTTCATCCTGGCAATGAAGCAGACATGACCTGATAAGCAGGTGCTTGCAATAGCCCTATTTTCACCCAATTTAGCAAAGCAGAGATGTGGTAAGAGTGAAATCCTCATACTACAGGATTTATTTTCAGAGATGGAAAAAAACCTGCTCAAAATTTAACGCATTATTCACGTTGTTTTGCACCCTATTGTAACTGCAGTTTAGCATATAAAACATCACAACGAGAACCTAATGTACACAATTCACAGCAAAGTCCTGCTTTGTGAGACTAAGACAACTACCCTGGGAACTGGCTCTAACCTTGGACAAAGTTAAAATGTCTACTGCAACCTGCACTGATATCTTAGTAATCGGGCCTCATAACCTGAAGTCAAACAAATTAAATGCCTAGCTCAACCAAGAAACTCAAGTCCCTTCCTCTGTCACTAAGGAACAAAGTCTCATCTCTTCACATGCAAAGTTTTAATGGTCCAAACTGTATGATGCCATCACCTCAGAGACAACAAAGTCCTACACTGGTAGCTGGTCACTGTTGAAATTCCCTATAATAGAGCAGCATTTATTTCACTATTAGTATCCAAAGATAATCAGTGGGGAGTAACTACACAGTCTCCTTTATTACTTATGCCTCCTAAGGAGAAGCAGCCATGCCTCAGTCATGATTTACAGAGCAGACAATATAGAAAATTTAAGTTATTAAGGATTAGCACAGAAACATAACTATTTTAGCAGGTAGGAATCTTTCAAAAAATTTAGTATTTGCAAAATGCAAGGGAAACACTGGGAGTTCACTCACAGGTTTCTCTTCAGAAACATCACAGCTGTAGAAACAAGATCCTGTCTATGGATTGACCCATCCTGCACAAACGGAAAGTGCATTTTGTATCACAACCAACTTCTAGTCTCTTTTAGATCGGGTGGTAAGACACAACTACTTCAGCAGAGAAAATGAGTAGCTTCGTTCAGCAGCTGGTTGCTCCTGCAGCCCCAAGTCCAATCTTTCTGACCCCTACCAGAGCATAGTGCTCAAAGACAGGTATCGTGTCAGAAAGCTAAGACAGGGTCAGGAGCGGAGTCACATGCAGACCAAGTGAGAAAAGTTCCCTCAAGGTGTCTCTGCTTCATTGCAGAGGAGTGCTAAGCTGGGCATGCAATTTGGTTCTAGGAAAGATGCTGATAAGACTTGTTTCAGTAGCCTATTTTCTTGCTTTTTCCTACAGTCAGGACAATCCAGCAGCTTTCACTTCAGCAGCCACATGAAATAGCTGCATCATGGAAGCCACATCTGAAACTCTTGACATCTGTGCAGAAGTCAAAGGCGCAGGCTGACCACCTCCATGACACCAAGTGTGAATCTACCTCAGGCAACCAGATCATCAGCACTGACCAACAGCCCCTGGTCATGGGATTCTTACCCACATTTACATTTCCAGACTAATCCAAGATTAAAGACAAACAAGGGCTGAGTGGTAGGTCATATGGTGTGGGATAAGCAGAACCACCTTCACAACCAAAAAGTACAGCTTTCAGTTCAGAGTAACAGATCACACAGGATAGAAGTACGTACTGCAGCCTGTAACTGTGCAGATGACTGACCTTAGAGGAGAGCATTTAATAACAAGAGCTCCACTCACAAAGTTTACTTTCTACAGTGAAGGGTTTGGTACAGCAAGAAGAGAGAAGTTGCAAAATCCTCCCTGAAACAGTTGTTCTTAAGAGAAGTTGAAGCTTTCATGAAGTCACAAAGTCACCAGATCTTCCTCCCTAAGAGGAAGCTCTCTCTAGAGGTGAAGGAGGACCCGATTACTTGATTATCACACTCGCCAGCTACTGGCAGCCCTTGCTCCTCTCACTGGCTGTCTTCAGTATCTGCTCATCACAGGAGGCTACACAAAAACACATCCCTGTATTATATCAAGGCTGATGAGTCCACAGATGTATTTCTACTATATCAACATTCAATAAAACTGCTCTAGGGCATCCCCCTTGTAAAAGGAGTATTCATTCCATTTAGCTATGCAGCTCCATTATGAAAAGCATTTTGGCACTGAAAATGATACATCTTGTTTACAAACTCGGTTTCCATGATCACCTCGACATGTTTTACTTGCTTGCAAGTCTTGCTGTATACTCTTTATTCCCTGGAACAGAAAGGACAAGCTTTCTCCCGCAACTGTTCTATTTCCAGTGGTAAAGAACTTCATGGCATTTACTGCTTTCCTGGTGGTCTAGCACCTGCGCTGCTTCTTGGCACCCAAAGTGGTGGCAGACACAGCAGAGGGAGTGTCTACCTGTCTCTCATTGCACCCTGCTGCCTCCAAAAATCAGCCAAGAGAAACCATTATGTGAAACTCCCTCAGAATTCAAAGGTAGTATTTTGTTTCCTGGGTTTTTGGCACAATTTTCAGAAAGATAAGTAAGTGTTGAATTTTGCCTCTGCCAAATGTTACATAAAGTGAGCTTTCTATTATGATTTTAGATATCTTGCCATAGTTCTTGTTTAAAAAGTGTTTTAATTCTGTTTAGTTCTCAAATAATTCTCAATTACTCACATGTGACTTGGAAACACAAACCTCAGAACTTCTATAATCCTGCCTGAAGCCTCAAAAGTATACTCTATTCCTCCCCTAAATTTTACTGAATCACTACTAAGTAGAAGTGTACAATTCAATTAAAGGAAGTCACACTTCCAAAGTAACAATACCAAATTCTTAAAGTTTTCTGCCATCTGTTTCTAAGACACTTCAAATTGACTAAAAAAATCTTTCATAATTCTTGAACTCCCTTGCAGTTTTATGACTTCACTACCACTTTAGAGATTCAAAGTAAAAGGAACTTGAATTCTAAATATAAAAAAAAAAAAGGAAAACCCCATAGATGAAAGAAACTAAGTTATTTTGAAAGACTACTGTCTACTTAAGAACATGCTTGTAAAGCATCAGAAGTGTTGTGCACATGTGAATCTTTGCTACAGAATGAATGAAAAAATTAACAAATATCACCACGTGTCAAAAATCACACATGGAGAATTAGGCCAAAGAAACCGACCCCAACATTCCAACAGGTTCCCTGCTGAAGGGGCTAAGCTTGGTAACATTTGTCTCCCACTAGCTTTGTAACATTGGTGAAACTTTGCCAGTCAGCACTGCAAACCAAATCCAGGCATTACTGCTGATGCTGCACAGCTTAGAGGGAGATGCACTGATTGGTACAACACAAAGTTCACATCGCGTTCAGACTCATTTCAATCGGCAGTTTGGCAATTCTTTCGGCTTTACTTCGCACAACCATTCAGCTTGGCCGATTTCCTCCCCGTGAGTTACAATACTGCCAAGTGAGACTTCAGCAATATCTTCAAGAAAAGCTGATTACGAACACAAACTTGAGATTCACACACTACAAGCCTGATCCACGCTATTTCACAAACGGCAAATTCTGCCCCTACCCCTTAAAAAGCAAAAGGTAGTCCTGCCACTGAACTGCATCGCCGTGCCTTCACAGGAAGCCTCCTGCCCAGAGTTTCCTGCAGCTCTTCTCCAAGTATCATGGCTATGTCTACTTACATTTTTGCTTTGTTAATTGATGTGTCAATTCAGATTAACCCTTCAGAACCCAGGTGACTCAGCTGGTGACTGAGAGGCACCACATTTTCCCTTCAGCTTCATTTGCTGATAGTTACAAAGCAAACCGGAAGATTTGCAAAACACCAGCAAGAAAAAACACTGCATTTAAGACTAGCTATGGGGTTGGAGAGATTTATGTCCCAGATCCTAGGACAGGATTTAAAGCCATTTTCAGTTGCTTTCTTTCCAAACCCTCCTGAAAAGCTCTCATGTCACCTTCCCACAACATGGTTTGATACTAGTCTGAGAAAAGGAACATTCTCTTTCTCACACCTGGTCAGCTGCCTGCAATTTTGCTTTTTGTATGACCTGTTGGACTACTTAGAGAGCTCTGCACTACAGCTAAGCTAACACTACACTATAAAAACTTTTGCATAATTTCCCAGAGTTGTTAATGCACTAGTTAAGACTCCCAGCATTGCTCACACATGGAGCTAACTCCATCCAGCTGCCATCAGCAGTTTAAACATCTTCAGAAAAGGTCAAATTATCTATGCTTAAAAAACACTACCAAATTCACCCACTTGCAGGCTCAGATATTGTTCATTCCTCTTTGATATCAGAAAGCAAAAACCTGACAGTTCTATCCCTCTAAAACAAAATACCACGGATGATTACAGAACAAACTGATCACCATAGGAGACATCACTGCAGTATAACTCAAATGCCTGCAAAATTGTTATGAGAAGACGTACGATGATTCATATCAACGAGAGAGAGAGAAATTGCAATGTACATTTGTGATCCCCAGTGGACTAGCGTGATCAGGGTAAACTAGACATGTTACTGCAGCAGACAAGGCTTTAAACCATTTCAGAGTTTTCTGATGCATCCTTGCTTCACTTCCCACGCGGCTGCACTAAAGCAGTATACTTTCTCTCCTTCTTGGGGCACAGTCCCTCAAAAGCTTCCTTCTGCCATTTCAAAAGAGCCCTTAAAAAATAATTCTTGATTGAACAGCAATATCTTCATGATATAATTACAGCCAACAATTAACAAATCAATCATCAGTTTTTGTGGGCAACTGAACCACTAAACGTCTTTGTAAAAACCCTGATTACAGGTTTTGCTGCTCCTTCCTAAATCTTTTCTCCCCTTTGAATCTGTTACCCAGAGCTCAGTTTTCTTGTTCAGATGTTGAAGGATCTCAAAGGTTGGCAGAACCAGAGTTTAGTAGAAGACAACAGAAATATGTGAACTTATACAAAGAAAAACCCAGTCATGAAAGGCTAACTGTTTTCACATGCTTGATTCTTTGTATCTAAGAGGAAACTTTCAAAGTAGTTACTCAAATACAGTTCTCTGGAGCTACGAATCAATGCAACTGTACTTGCACAGCAGTACACGCTCTTTGAAGTTGGCCTCTTTTGCAGGCAAGGTGTTCAACCAGATGACTGTTAGAGCTCCTGTTAGACCTAAATTATTCTATAATAATAGATTCTATACTCAGGATGTGACATAGACATATTAAGAGTTCAGCTCCAAATATCCTTACACATTTTTCTGGTGGCTCTGAATGCCACAATTTTTACTCTTATCTGCTACGTTAGGTAAAATAGAGAATCATCACAGGAATGCAGTCACTTTTTCCTGAGGCAGTGGTGGCAACAACTCTTTAGCAGAGAGTTTTCTGCTGGTTTATGCCTGCTACGCCCAAGGCTGGATTGTCTGACCCTACAGCAAAACAACCACCAGAAAAGTGTCCAAAAATACCCTGCTGTACAGCTAGCTGTGAAATGAGCTGCAGTAAACACTACAGCCAGAGATACAACTCAACAGCCATCCTTTATCTATCCATACATTCTGGTAGATCTGGTAAGGTATACTTAGCAAAGTATTCAGCACAAAACCTCCTTTCTGCTTGAGAGGATGTGCAAAAGTAAGATCAAGGGAGCCTATCACCAAAGCTCTACTTACGGATGTGGTTTCATTTCTATGTAGTTCTTCGGAATGAAGCCGTCTTTTCCATTGAGTTCTGCCTTGTACCAATTCTGATCGCATTCTTCATTCAAAACCTAAAGGAAGCAAACAAAAAAATAAGCTTACCGCATGAAGATACTATCTTATTCTTCCCATTCTTGTTTCAAAGGCTGCTCTTGTAAGATGAACCTATAAAAAACGGTGCTAGTCATCCTGCTCCATTGCATCTCATGAGCATTTAGAACTGTGGTGAACAAAAAGCTGGAAAAGTAACTTAAAATAGCCAAAGGATTTTAATACCAAAACCCCATGCTTTAGTAAGAAAGTCATTGTAGGTCCACAGGTACTTTTAACAACATAACTAGACTGAGATCTGTGCCAAAGATTAAGTTGGTTGCCATCACCAAAAACTTCTGTCCAAAATCTGCAAGACAAGAAATTGATACTTTATCACTTCTAATGATCGCATTTTCCTGAATTCAACTGACAAAGCTGATGCTTTCAGCATAAATGTGATTTCATCCAGCTTTTCTGTATTTGGTTGCATACTAGATATGTTGAAGATTCTCAGCAACATCTATATTATAGAGAATTTTACAAAAAACCTCCCTCCTAGTACAGGCCCAGCTGCAGATACAACTGGCTGCTTCAGCTGGTTTTGCTGATACAAGTTAAAACCAGGTTAAATCAGATGGCAGAAACAGTGACTTGCCTGTCAAGCATTTTTTATGTTAATAAAGTTAAACAAAACAAGCAAATGTAGATGAACAAAGTTTCCTCTTTTTTTTTTTTAAAGTGATACTTTTCTTACTGTAACTTTACTCTAAAATGAAAGAAAGATGAGGAGTCACGAGAGGAGCCACGTGAATAGGTAGCTTTAAAAAGTACAAATTGATACTTCAAAGCTTAATTGCTCTAAAAACTTTGGTACTTTTTTTTTTCATTGTCAACTGGTACAGTGCAATAGACAAGCCTGGTACACCGACTGAAAGCAGTTTCTTGAATAAAGTAGTAGCCTGGCTTTATTTACAGAACATAATACTATAGTTTGAAACTACCTTTCCTCAAAAAGTTTTTATTTGGTTTTGGAAGTAAACATCACACAGAACTTCCTCCTCTTTAAAATTAAGCACCACAACAACATTTTTCTCCAAGCACTTTCATTCCTTCTCAGCTTTCTGAGGTTCTTTAACTTTGTGACAGTGGCCAGCAAAAAGCTGGATCTGAGTTTAAAAAAAAAAAGAAGGATATACTTAAAGCCTCAAGTCACAAAAGTATCACATGTTTCGTGTTGCCTGAATGCGGGAAGATGAAGAAATGCAAAGAGAAAGACAACATGAATGCAGATCCAGAGATCACATGCTACATACACATGCAGTTATGGTGAAGATACCCACCAAACCCCAAAATCTTTATAAGCAATTACTGCTGTTTCTGACTTTTTTCTTTTTTTTCCTTTTTCTATCTCACTGTTTCTTTTTTTTTTTTGGTGATGAGAAGAAATTTAAAAAAAGGAAAAGCAGACAAAAATTTGCAAGTGCAGGTCTTAAAATTCTTATAGCTGATGGGAGTGCTTCAGAAAATTCAACTCTCAAGCCCAATTTTTGCTGCCTTTCAAAACTACGTGACATATCAACACTCTGATCTGCCTCTTTGTTGACTGCTACATATAAAAGAGAAAAACCTCAACACCAACAGAAATGAACTCTAGTCAAGCAAAAAGAGAACAGAATCTTAATCTCCTCAGTGAATTACAGTAGGTAATAGTTACCTGCCTGTTCCTTAACTCCCAACAGAAGAGGCTGATGGTGGGATGTACATGCCCCAGGTGCCAGCACTTCCATCGGGGAACTAGCCCACTAGCAGGGCCACATCTACACAACTTTAAGTGAGCAAAGATAAGCCCATTTCAGGATATTTTCAGTTGAAGAGAGATTTTAATACTGAAAAGAGTCTAGATCCTTTTATGTGGATAAAAATATTCAAGCTATTTTTTTGCACAGTTACTACTTTCGGCTTCCATTTATTTACAAGCATTGTTCTAGCATGCATTACAGTTCAGTCATTTAGCAAGGATAATCTGACCACAGGTCATGAGCAGTTCAAGTGTGGCTCTGTAACAGGCTCTGAGGTAAAAGCCTGCACATGGAGAGCTGACGCAGATCAGCTTATGTCTGCTGACTTGCCTTTAAGCATGAAAACAGTGCACATCTCTCACAACCACTGTACTGACGGCGAGACAGAGTTCTGTGTAGAGAGCGATTCAACTCCAGAATAAGAAATACAAGTAGACGACACCAGCAGGCAGCTCTGGGATAATGAGCAGGGAAGATGGAGATTAAAATCAGGTATGTAAAAAAGTGAATTGCATACAGACTAAGGAGACAGAGGGCACAGGTTGAAGCCCAGATCTACCACTCAGTCACGCAAAGATTCTGGCACGTAGTTTGAACTACCAGGAAGTGTGGTTGTTAAATACCTCAGCTGCCATCACTAGAGTCATTTACAACACAATAGAACACAAACATGACAGATTTTGATGTGATTTCCAATAAGCCAAATCTTACGCAATAGTGTGCATTCCTTTATCAAAGATAGCACTGATCGAACCTTTGATAAGATTGTGTACTACAAACTCATTTCATTACCATCAGAGAGCAGTTAAGGGATACGGCAGTCTGCTCTTTTTCCAAGAATAAAAAAGCGGGTAAATTGTAGCTTCATATGAAGGACATTACCACAGATTTGTGCTTTTGGCAGTAGGTATTAAAAATTATCAGAAATTATAATGCCCAAATGTAAATTATTTTAATGAGTTTTATCTTGCTCTGAAGAGATGCTAATAGATTTGGAGGAGTCAAATCACACAGGGCTTGGGGTACTCATTAATGCTTGGCCCAAAGCCAAATGCCAGTGAGGGAGCATTGCTGAGGCATGCATTAAGCTTTGTGACTGAGGAAAGAAAAAAAAAAGCTGGATAAAAGGCATAGTAAGGTGAACTGCCTACACATATGCACGTACAACCTGTTCAGGGGACTTCTGCTGTAATGTTCAATCCTCCACAGCTCCCCTTCTTCAGTGGCTTTGTTTGCTCCAAGGACTTTTTCCTGCTTCACACCCAGAGTGACGTATCTTCATAGCCAGTTGTCCTTTCTAGGATCATTTTAACTAGCTGTCACAGCTCCATTCGCATCCTGGCAGGCAGCCAAACTATCCATGCCCTATATTATATACCAGAGAGCTTATACACACAGAGTCACCCTGTAAGCACCCCTGTTTTCCCCTTTGTGGGTCTCCCAGGGTTCACTTCTCCAGAGGCAATAGAACTTACTGTTTTCTTTACAAAGCTCCATGTTCACGAATCATTTCAAGAGTCATCACCTCCACCACACAAATATCTACAAAAATCATTTTTTCTGACAATGGCTGACATAGAAACCACTGGAGCTACTCCCAATGCTTAGTCAAGCAAAAATGACTTGTACTGAAGAACTTTAAATTCAGGACAACTTTGCAGTCACGTGCACAAGGCTGGAATTCTGGTGGCAGCTAGGAAGATATGGAGCTATTATTGTGATAACTGTAAAATAGTCATGTAAAATTTCAGCTTTCATAAAACTTATGCCACTGATATCCATTACTGACATACAACTAAAAAGTAAGTCGGGAACACACATAAAAACTCTCTGCACTGGAGCATCTGGCCTTGATGTTTACATCTGACACTGCACTCTCTTCTTTTAAATCTTAAACCCACCAAAACGAAATAACTGACTTCATGTAATTAAACCATTTTGCTGCAAACCATTTTAAGAAAAGCATCCAGTAAATCCATCTATCCCATACCTCCAACTGGCCTCCAAGGTATTTTCAGGCAATAATTAAGATTAAAATTTATCATCTGGATACTTAAAAACCAGTGCTGTGCCTCCAAGAAAAACAAAGATTCTTAACTGAACTATTGTAAGATTTTCCCAGACTTAACAAAGCTATAAAATTCAGTCTAAGTACTGCATATATCACTGGATCTTGCTTTGAAAACTTCCTCAAGTACAAATAAATACAGACAAATTAAGCAACAAAATGAAACTTAAGCAACTTAAACTTAAGCTTCAGAGTCTGCAAAGATATCTAAAAGGCACAAACACTTATTTATCTCAACAACTGTTAAAAACTGTTGCTCTTTGTATAGGTCAAAACATAAAGCATTCCTTTGCAGCCAGTCCCCATGTCTGCTATAGATCTAATCAAGTCTACGCCAGAGTGACTCTTCCTTTCACACTGGGGCATCTGTGCCTGAGAGGAGGAAGAAGGAAGGATATTTTTAGCCACTAGATTTGAACACATACTGCCATGTGATGTCCTCAGTCTGTAGTCAGCCCTGTTTAACAGTAATAGTGGCTCAACTGCTGCCCGCCAGTCTCCTAGTTTGATAACAGATTCTTATCAACAAAACCCCATCTGTTCCCATGGAAATGGAGAAGAGGCACTGCTGGAGGGCCACGCAACAAGGCAGTCACCAAGTTTTAGCTGGAACAGCTCAACACAACAAGCATTCCCGGCCATTTTCAAACTCATACCGGGCAAGTATTTCTAAGCACAGCTTTTCCACCCTTGTGAATTGTTGCACACCAGTCTTGATGCTCTCAAAACCAAACACCTTTCAGGAGCACGCAAGCACTGAACTGGAATATAACAAGCAGATCTGGCATCTCAACGCTCAAGCTGACTCCCATATGCAAACATGAAACTAAACATAAGGCCTCAAAAGTACTTACATGCTTGCAAATTTAGCCAAATTCAACATAATGCTTGGGTTTTGGAGAGACAAAACCCAAGAAACTTGTTCAGAGAAGGCTCCGAGTTTTGGCTGAACCTCCTCTTTTCCCAGAACTGTAAGGTTTCATGATTCTTGCTGAGCTAACTGAAACAGAAGGTAACACAACTGCTCAAGTACAACCTGTTAGCTGCCAATGTGGTTTTTGCTTGACAAAGTTGCACTGACACAAAGAAAAAAAATGCAGTATATTAAAAACGCTCCCAAAAGTGTTTCCAAGGAAAGTGCTCATGACACTCAAACTAGGGCAGGAATTAA